AATCCTCTAATCTCTAAGCAACACTGAATTCATCAATTCATCACAATTCACATAAAATTCCTCAACAAACCAAAACAAAACAATTATTCACACAATTCCTATCAAATAACTTCACCAAATCATTCAAACAAACAACAATATAGAAAGTTAGAAACTGTCACCAACTTCTTTGATTCTGCCACTACTAAATACTAATGTAGTAAATTTAATGTTATAAATTATTAATGTTTATAATGTAATAGTAATGTGTAATTAATTAAATAATTATTTAATTAATGTAATGTATAATTAATTAAGTAATCATACTATACATTTATAATATAATGTTATAATTAATAATTTCTAATTATTTAATTAAATATTGTACTAATGTTTATAATGATGTTATAATTAATTAAGTAATTATTTAACAATAATGTAATGTTATAACAATTAAATTTCTAATCATTTAATTAATTACTAATGTTTATTAATATTTATAATATAATGTCATAATTAATTAAGTAATATTTAATTATGTAATGGATAATATTAAATAATATGCTATTAACTATAATAATATTATAATTAATTAAATTTCTAATAATTAATATAGTATGTACTAATGTTTATAATAGAATGTTATAATTAATTAAGTAATCATACTATAAATTTAAATGTATGTTATAATTAATTAAAATTCTAATCATTTAATTAAGTATGGTAAATTACAGTTTATAATACAATATTATATCAATTAAGTATAATTAATATGTAATGTTTATAATTAATTATGATCATACGATAAATAATATTATAATAAATTAAGTAATCATTATAAACTATAATTTAATATTGTAATTAATTAAATTTCTAATCATTAATTAATGTACTAATGTTATATTGGAATATTATAATTGATTAAGTAACATACTATAAATCTATAATTTAATATTGTAATTAATTAAATTTCTATCATTAATTAGTGTACTAATGTTATATTTGAATGTTATAATTGATTAAGTAATCATACTATAATCTATAAGTAATGTATATTAATTAAATTTTTAATCATTTAATTAAGTAATATAATAGAGTAAAATGTTAATGTTATAATGTAATGTTATAATTAATTAAATTTTAATCATTAATTAAGTAATATAATAATGTAGTAATGTAATGTTTATAATGTAATGTTTAAATTTATACCTAATTAAATAACATTAACTATGTAATACTATAATTAATTAATTAATGATATAATATAATGTAAGTATAATACTATAATTATATGTAATAATTTAATTAAGTAATCATTTGTTTCTAATGTAATGTTACAATTAATTAAGTAATCGTATTATAAATTTAATGTAATGTTAATATATTATAATTAATAAATTATAATATTTAATTAAGTATGTACTAATGTTTATATAGTAAATTACTAATGTTTAAATATAAGTCTAATCAATTAAGAATCATTTAATTATGTAATGTTATAATTAATTATGTGATCATACTATAATGTAATGTTATAATTGATTAAGTAATTATACAATAAATCATAATTAATATTGTATAATTAAATTTATAATCATTTAATTAATATACTAAGTTTATAATAGAATGTTATAATTGATTAAGTAATCATACTATAAATCTATAATGAGATGTTTTAATTAATAAAATTTAATCATTTAATTAAGTAATATAATAATGTAGTAAATTACTATGTTTATAATGTAATGTTTAAATTTAAACTAATTAAATAATCATTTAACTATGTAATGCTATAAAATTAAGTGATTATAATATATTATAATGTAATGCAATAATGGTATAATTTAATTAAGTAATATTTAAATACAAAGTAATACTTAATTAATTAAATTTTAATCATTAATTAAGTAATCATTGTTATAATGTAATGTATAATAATTTATAATATAATGTCATACATCTCATTATATAATGTTAATAATTATGATATCAAACTATAATGAAATATTATAATGAATTAAGTAACATATATAAAATCTTTAAATAATATATAATTAATAAGTAATCATTAATATAATGTAATGTTACAATTAATTAAGTAATCGTACTATAAATTTATAATGTAAGTTATAATTAATTAAATTTCTAATTATTTAATTAAGTATTGTGCTAATGTTTAAGTAAATAATATTACTATATTTATAATATAATGTCATAATTAAAAGTAATCATTAATATGTAATGTTATAATTAATTATGTGATATAATGTAATGTTATAGTGAATAAGTAACATACTATAAATCTTTATGTAATATTATAATTAATTAATTTTTAATCATTAATTAAGTATTATACTAATGTTTATAATGAAATGTTATAATTGATTAAGTAATTATACTAAATTATTAATGTATGTTATAATTAATTAAATTTCTATTATTTAATTAAGTAATATACTAAATTATAAGTCAATTAATTAAGTAGTAATCAAATGTAAAGCTATAATTAATTATAGTATAAATCAATTAAGTAACGTTATAAAATAAATTAATTAAGTAATCATTTAACTATATATAATGTTATAATTGATTAAGTATGATATTTAACTAGTAATTAAATTTATTAATGTTTATCACTTATCATAATAATTAATTAATTGCTAATTTACATAGAATATTTAGAACTCGATAATTGAAGTAAATAAACTAAATAATTATTATTCAATCAAATATACTATTTATTCAAAAATAATTCTTTTAATAACATTAAAACACTTTTAATTGGATCCTAATTTCAATTATACACTTAATTAATCAAAACTTTAATATATATATTAAAGTTTTTAATATGGTGTAGTTTAATGTAATAAGTATAATTGTATATTTATTTGATTAGGTTACTAAAAACTTAACTTTTTCTATTTTAATTTTTTTTATATGTAAAATAATGAAACCCCCCATTATTCACAAATTTTCATTGTAGCCTAGGTTCCAAAACAGGTTCCAAAAAATCATTCCAAATAGGTTCTAAACTAGATACCCGCTACAGGTTCAAGCAGGTTCCAAACCAGGTACCAGTTTCAAGTTTTTTTTCTAGGTTTCGGTTCTGGTTCCTACTCCATAGAACCACAAGTTCCAAGCAGGTTCCAAACCGGGTACCAGTTTTAGGTTTTTTTTCTAGGTTTTGGTTCTGGTTCTTACACAAGAACCGAATCGGAATAGCACAGTGTCGGTTCCAATAAAATAGAACCGGAACTACTCGACAGTGCCGATTCCGGGTGGGTTTCGATTCCGGTTTCGGTTCTACCCGCTACCTGCTCGACTATAAATATGAATGCTAATTAATAGTCAAGAAATAAAAGAAAAAATAAAATTTTGGTAAATTTTGAAAAACAAACAATTTTCTTCAATTTCAACAACTGATTTGACTATACCTCCGCGTCTGCAACATGTGAGTAAATAGTAAATTTTTAGAGACCAATGATTACTTACACGTAAAGAGAGTAGTTAAAAGATATTGGGCTTATAGCTTCACCTCCACAATAATCACATGTTGTAATTTTGCTTTTACTCGCAGTTACATTGAGTATTGACTTGAGGAGGAATGTGTTTCGCTTTTTTCCTTCTGTCTACTTTTGAGGTCTTTACTCTTTCTATTGTTCCATTCTCTCCACACTCCACTTGAGAGCTCCATTAATTTGCAGCTTCAGATTGCATCCTACCAAGCTACCAAAATCAAACTTGCGAGTGGTGCGGGAAGAGAAAAACATATAAGTAATTTTAATTTTGGGGGTGCCTTGTAATTTTTATAGGTAAGTTTGTCATTTTTTTAAATAGTAGGGAGGTTATAAAAATTACTTTTGATATATAGTACTAAAAGATCTTTCCAACATATGTACCTAACTCCTCTCAAAATGTCAAAGGATGCACAGATTTATCATCTATTTTCGTTGTCTTCAATTATTTGGGAGATATTTTTGGTGACCCAATTCATTATCATAAAAATTGAAGTCATTGGCTTCGTTTGGTTGCATTTTGAGAATACTACTTTTAGTATTTCCAAAAAAGTTAAACAGTAAAATACCCAAAAACTCACAATATTATTCAACTTTTTTTAAACCTTTTAAATTTGTTAATTTAATTAAATACCCCTAAATATTTTTTAAAAAATTGTAAAAACACCTCAACAATCCACATTTACCATATTCTGGCCACCACTGCCGAAAAATGGCCAGAATCTGGTAGGATGGCACACTACGGGATGAATCTGGTCGGTAGTGCGTCGATCTAGCCTTTTTCGGCCAGATTCACAGTGGATCTGACCAGAAAAGGCCAGATCTTTAGCCGTAACCAGTCGGTAACAACGGCCAACAAACGATCGTCGTTGACCATCAATGATGACCGTTTGTTGGCCGTCATTGAATAGCAATTACGGCAGCCATAGATTTGGCCTTTGCCGGCCAGATCCACCGTGGATCTGGCCGAAAAAGGACATATCGGCGCACGACCGGCAAGATCCAGCCAGTCATGCGCCGATACGGCGACTCCGGCCATCCTCCGGCGGTGGTGACCGGCTGTCCGTATTTAAGGGTGGATTGGGGGTGTTTTGTTAACTTTTAATGTTTTATTATAGGGGGTATTTTGTAAAAAAATAAACATAAGGGATATTTTATGAATTTGTAAATCCTATATCGTAATACCAGCCCAATTCAACTTTTTTTTAACTTTTTTTAAAAAACTTTTCCAAAAAACACAAAATTATGTTTGGTAGGTTTTGATAGTTTAGTTGTGAAATCATTTTTATACAGATAATTAAATTAAAAATAACAAAGATTTAAGATAAAAGATAATAAACTACGTTTGGGTGGTTGATAAGAATTCTCGAATGATTACTTACAAGGTATTGGGAACTTTGAGTTGGCAATTCATTTATTTCTCAATTTGCAGATAATATTTTGCTGAAACACGCTGCCGTTCCTTCTTCTGAGAACTAAAGGACTTGGAACTTGGAACACGTTAACTCATTTTCTTCTTCTTTCTTTTTTTACAGCGTAAGCTGCTGTTATCTTCAACAACTCGAAACTCAAATCTCATCAATCATTTTTTAAATATAAAGAGAAATCTCATTTTAATGGAAGATCAGAAGCAAATTGTGTTGATCACAGGCTGTTCTCAGGGAGGAATCGGCCATGCATTGGCTCATGAGTTTGCTTCTAAAGGCTGCATTGTTGTGGCCTCAAGTAGGTCCAAAAGAACCATGGCTGATCTTGAAAATGATTCCAGGTTCTTCGTGCAAGAACTTGATGTTGTTTCAGATGAAAGTGTGGAGAATGTTGTGGCAAATGTTATTGAAAAGTTCGGAAGAATTGATATTTTGGTAAACAACGCTGGAGTCCTTTGCATTGGCCCTCTTGCCGAGCTTCCGTTATCAGCTATCCAGAATGCATTCGACGTCAATGTTTTCGGTGCCTAAAATATGATTTCTCTGAATTTTGTGTTCATTATCTAAATTTTTTTGTTATTATTGTTAAGATCACGTTCCATAGAACTCATCTCTAAAATTGGTTTTTATTTATTTAATGTGTTTCTAGAGTTCATATGTTGAAAATCAATCACTATAATTATATTTATTATAACGAGGATTCATCATATGATAGAGAATCAAACCCACAGGAAAATGTGTCTAGGTTTATAATTGACACCATGATCAGGATTCAGGTCATCCCCTAAACCATTCATATGGTTTATAATATTATAAACCATATGAATGGATATATATTCTCTATGGTTAATTTATGGTAAAAATGAGGAACCCATAGTTGCATTAATACGTTTGTTTTAGTAGTGGCTTCAACCAAATTTTAATTATTTTTTTTTTACTGTTGCTTTGTTTAGCATTTGGTGTTCCCCATCTGATATTAATTTGAAGTTCACTGATGAAATATATAGGTGCCATGAGAATGATTCAAGCTGTTGTTCCCCACATGGCGGCTAGGAAAAAGGGGAAGATTGTAAACATTGGAAGTATTGGTGCTGTTAGCCCTGCACCGTGGACCTCTGTTTACTGTGCATCTAAATCTTCTCTTCATTCACTCACTGATACCTTGAGGTATGTATATATATCTCCTCTATTGTCTCGAAATCGATAAAAAAGTAATCTGTTTACTATTCTTAATTACAGTTATTAGTCAATTCAACACGTCGAATATCTCTTAGCGTTATACAAAAGGTTTCAGGATAGAATCTGTTGTCACGGAGTCTTTCTCATGAGTTAATCATATTGATGTCTAATAATGCAGATTGGAACTCCATCCTCTTGGGATTCATGTCACCCTCGTCGCCCCAGGAGCTATTAAGTCTAACATAGCAAATGTCGCGGCCGGCAACTATAGTCGGATGCCTGAATTGAAGCTATACAAGCCATTTGAAAATATTATCAAGGAGAGAGCATATTTCAAAGAACCATCAAATGCAACCCCTACAGAAATATTTGCAAGGAAGACTGTGGCTGTTTTGTTCAAGGACAAGCCCCCAGCTTGGTTTTCTTTCGGTAAGTACTCTACTCTCGTGGAAATATATTCCTATATGCCAAATTTTGTTAAAGACTTTCTTGCAAGGAGAATGATGAAAGGATAAATGACATTATCGAGTTCATCTTTTTTTATCTGAAATTTGTACAAGTTTAAACGATTTTTTTTTTTTTTTCTATGAATTCGCATATGAAACCTGTATGTTTTACATATGTGAAATATCAATAAATCAATACTTTATGAGGGATGTCTATTAATCTTTTAGTATGTCAAAGCTGCAGAATTCACAGTTAACCATAGTCTTCATTACCCATAAATAATACACTGAAAAAGTATGCAGAAATAGGAAATTAAACAATGCACAGACAACAAAATTACATAGCATTAACAACTATTCAGAGCAGCCTTTAGCTAATGAGAAACTAGAGAAGATTTGAGATGAGCCACAGTGTCTTCAAGAAAGTAACTAAAGGGTCCAATTTCAGTTCCATCAAGTAGCTTAAAGTTCAACTGTATGGATTCCAATTTTATCCAGCAACAACTGAACATCTCCAATCTCCAATTACAGTCTAGAAGGTGACATGTCTTTTATTGTTTTTTTTTACCGGAAAAATTGAATTTTCTTGAGAAAATTAATCAAGTTTTGAGGAGGTTAGAGTCAATGCAATTTGCTCAGTTTTCGATCTTATTCAGTGGTCAGCTAAAAAATTGACCCGAAAATTCAAAGAAAAAAAATGATATTTTAATAATGTTCTATAACTTTTTAACTAAGATACAAATTTCCTACCAAACTCTAATTAAAGTTAGTTAATATATTTTTTTTTAATGACTTGGGGTGTCCGAGCTAGTTTATACGCACCTAAACTAATCTTTTGGGACCTTGAAATTACCGACCAGATAAGAGTTTAAATGGCTACCCCTATTAGCACCCAATGAGAGATTCAAACTCATGATCTCTTATATAATATACTCAAGAATCTTTATCGAACCGTTCGACCACCCAAAGGTAGTTAAGTTAATTAATAATTTCTTGGGTGGTAAGAAAGAATTCAATTGATTTTCCACCAAACTCTATTACTGAATTAATATCAATTCAAGTAGGTCTCTATGAAGAAAAAAATGGAATGATTAATTAATAAAAATGGAATGAAGGGTATTTTAAGAATTGAGACTTCTTTAGTCCACTAGCGGGTTCAATAGTTCGGCTCATAAATAAAGGGAAATGATTTTTTGCCCTCACCATTTTTTTTCTTTAACCCTCATCTTCTACTTTAACTAAGGATATAGTTGTCAAAGAAAGAAAAAATATCCTTCGTCTATACTTTTATTTCAAAGAGATGCAATTACCAAAAAATTTAAAGAAATTTAGGTAAATCAAAATGCATAATCTCAAAAGTAGATTAAAGCCCATGGTAGCTATCAAAATTACTTGATATCTCAACCTAAAGCAAATACAATTACCATTTGATCTTCTTTTGGAGAGTTCTTTGTTAGTTTCTTTCTTCCTTTTCTTCTTCTTATTAATCTTCTTTTTTTGTTTTCTTTTCAAGTTTTGTATTTGGAAAACTTTTATGAATCACATTTTAAATATAAAAACAATTATGTAACTAGGAAATTACTAAAACTTAAATCAAACAAGACGTTTTTTTAAGTGCTTTTACAATTGATAACTTTATAAAAATAGGAGACATTAAAAGATTAAAAATCTTGAGTAAAATAATGAATATGTTTATAAATTCTTCCTAAAACTTTTAAATGTTTAAAAACCATGGTTAATAATATATACGTACCCTATCTAAGATAGAAGACAGGGGCTTAGGGGTGGGGGGGTGGGGGGGGGGGGGGGGGGGGGGGGGGGGGGGGTGGTGTGGGCGCGGTGCGTGGGGTGGGAGGAGGGATGGGGAGATGGGGGTTCGCGTGGGCTAAACTACTGCCTAACTAAAGGGTAGTGATCTTTACACCCCACTCATTGACTATTATCCCCATTTAAAACATGAAATTGAAAAAAAAATAATAAATAAAACAAAAGTAAAAGAGTTGACAAAAAACCGTTTACCCAGATCTCTTTTCATGACCATCGGTTTCCCTAGTGTAGGACGTAGCCACACTAAAAGGTAATGATCTTTACACCTCATTTATTGACTATTAGTCCCATTTAAAACATAATTGAAAAAAAATAAAAGAGTTGCACAAAAAACCCTTACCACCCAATCTCTTTTTCATGACCATCGTTTCTCCTAGTAGTAGGGACGGAGCGACACTAAAGGGTGTATCTTAACACCCACTTATTGACTATTAGTCACATTTAAAATATAAAATTAAAAAAATAACAAAAATAAAGAGTACACAAAAAACCATTTACCCAATCTCTTTTTCATGACCATCATGTTTCCCTTGTAGTAGGACGTAACCACGCTAAAGGTAGTGATCTTTACACCCCACTTATTACTATTAGTCCCATTTAAAACAAAAATTGAAAAAATAACAAATAAAAGAGTTGCACAAAAACCATTTACCCAGACTCTTTTCATGACCATCGTTTCCCCTAGTAGTAGGGAGTACCACACTAAAGAGTAGTGATTTACACCCACTTATTGACTATTAGTCCCCATTTAAAACATAATTGAAAAAAATAACAAAAATAAAAGAGTTGCACAAAACCATTTACCCAGATCTCTTTTTCATGACCATTATTGGTTCCCCTAGTAGCAAGGACGTAGCCACACTAAAAGGTGGATCTTTACACCCCACTTATTGACTATTAGTCCCCGTTTAAACATAAAATTGAAAAAAAAAAATAACAAAATAAAGAGTTGCCAGAAACCATTAGCAGATCTCTTTTTCATGACCATGTTTCCCCTAGTCAGTAGGATGTAGCCACTAAAGAGTAGTGATCTTTACACCCGACTTATGACTATTAGCCCCCTTTAAAACATGAATTGAAAAAAAAAAAAAAAAAAATCAAGAGTTGCACAAAAAACCATTAACCTAGATCTCTTTTTCATGACCATCGGTTTCCCTAGTGTGGGACTAGCCACACTATAACATATGTTCAATTGAACCACTTAAACTTTGAAAAAAATAAAAAGGCTTATATTTTATATATTTACAATTTGATATCACTTAATTCTATTGAACCACCAAACTTGAAAAAATAAAAAAAAAAAGTTTTATTTTTATATATTACAATTTGACATCATTTAAATTCATATTGACCCCATAAAATTTTATTATAATTTATAAATTTAATTATTTTAAACCCACCACTAAAAATCCTAGTTACGTCCTTGCCTAGACCAGGAAATTCATGGACACAAAACTGTGTTTTACTCAACATTTGAATAACAGTTGAGCTTTATACTAGCGGAAAACATTGCCAATGCCACCCAAATCTATCCTTTGTAGATGACTCATGTAATTTGTTGTGAATCATTATTGCTCATATAATATATATATATATATAATGTTACTTTTTAAAATTCTGATATAATGAAATTCAGAAGAAATATTTAAGTTCAATATATTATCCAAGAGATTCTTGGTTCTGAAATTGAAGATTAATGAAAGAAATTATTGTTCAAATCTATAATTTTTTTTTTTTTTTTTTGAAATTTGTTAGTTAATTGAGTCTTAAGAAACTATTATATATTATAGATAAAAAAAAACAACAAAAAAAAAAAGAGAGAGATTTCATCTTTAATGGGATCTTCACCCTCAAGATAGTGTTTCTTGCCGAGGATTTCAAAAGTACTATAGTTACGGTAGTTTACAATTAGGAATGGTAAATGGGACGGGTTGGGCTGTGGATCGTCATCCCCATCCTATCCCAAAAATAAAATAGTATCTCCATCCGTGTCCCCATCCTCGGATTGGACAATGAGGCAATGAGGCGGGATCCCCAAATGGGGATCGAGTATCTCCACGTGGACTCAATCGCCAAATTTAAAAATAAATTATTTTTTATTTTTATAATTTTTAATGACCTTTTTACAAAATGTTAAATTATATATATTGTTCTATCCAAGTCATATATGAGAACTAAAAATTGATTTACATTCAATCGTTATTAATTATATTAACATACATATTTAAAAGCTTTATCTTTTAATTGTACAAAAAAAAAAAAAAAATTAATAATTACATTAAAGATTAATGAAAAATTAAATACCCATTAATATACTTCTATTAAAATTAAAGTTTCACTAAACTCAAATTTATAAACACAATCAAATTTAAAATGTTCCATTGTTAATAAAATTAGTTTGTCTCACCGATATGACTATAGACAAACTATATATATATATATGTTACTTTGTTATAGATACTAATATTCTTTTTTAAATATTTAATAATTATTAATAAATTTTAGTGTTTGGGGATGGGATGGGGTGGGGCAGAATGGCAATCACCACCCCTCCCCAAAATCAATTCGGGAATGAGTTTTCATCCCCATCCCCACTCCCTCCGTCCTCGAAAATTTAGCTTAAATTCCTCCCCGAATAGGGTGGGGACAAGCGGGGACCCATCCCCACAAAAAAAATAAAATTAAAAATCGGTAAAATATAGATAAAAAACAAAAATAGTAATTTTACAAGGGGTGTTCGGTTCCGGGTACCCTGTATTTTTTTAAGGAATCGGAACTAACGGTTCCTTGAAATTTAGAACCAGAATAGGAACCAACGGTTTCTAGGTACCTAGAACTAGAACCTGTAACAACAGTTCCTTGAAATTTGAAACCATAATCGGAACCGACGGTTCCGGTTCCTAGGTATCCAGAACCAGAACCCGTAACAACAGTTCCCGTTCCTAGGTACCCAGAACCAGAGCCCGTAACAACAGTTCCGGTTCTGGTTCTGGGTACCCTGTAAAATTCATGACCCCCCAAAAGTTTTTAAGATGGCAAAAAAATCCTTAAAAACTTACAAATACCCCCCTACTGGCACTTGTTAACAAAAATAAAATTACAAATTATAAATTCAAAATTACAAACTCCATTACTTTATAAAGGTAGATTCTCAAAAGTCAAACTAACTTACTTTAAATGTTATGAAATATAAATATAAATATAAATGTATTTACTTTACTTTTTCTACAAAAGTTTTTATTAACCCCCCTAATCTTTAATTTTATTTTATATTAGTCTCGGTTTTTGGTTCTTGACTCCTGGTTCCGGTTCCTAACTATAGGAATCGGAACTGGAACCGCACAGTAACGGTTCTAAAAATTTGGAACCGGAACCCACCCGTTGATGGTCGGTTCTGGATAGGAACCGGAACCAAACCCCGAGTACTTGCCGGTTCCGATTCCAACCGGTTCTTTTGAACACCCCTAAATTTTACCCTCATCTAACTTGTAGGTGAGGTTTAAAATTAAAATATTTGGGGGCTAGATATTGTCCCCTAAAATCCGGATCCGAATTAAATATAATAATGACGCAGAATAACCCGGCCCAATCGTCCCCGTAACTGAAAGTCTGAAATGGTCCTTTTCAACTGAAATCTGAATTTTCCTCCTTTGTAAGCGGAAACTTCAACTCTCCTCTCCTCGAATTCAACGACAAAGCCTGAAACTTTGAAACTTCCCCCTCACTTTTCACACCATTTTAATGGAGCCTCAAGATCAGCAGCATCCGGTGGTGCTAATCACCGGCTGTTCTCAGGGGGGAATAGGCCACGCGCTGGCACGTGAGTTTGCTGCAAAAGGGTGCCGGGTGGTGGCCACCAGCAGGTCCACGACAGCCATGTCTGACCTCGAACAAGACCCCAGGTTCTTCCTCAAAGAACTTGATGTTGTTTCGGATGAAAGTGTGAATAGTGTTGTGTCAAATGTTGTTGAAAAGTTCGGAAAAATTGATGTTTTGGTTAATAATGCTGGAGTTCAATGTGTTGGCCCGCTTGCTGAGCTTCCATTGTCAGCCATGGAGCAAACTTTCAACACCAATGTTTATGGTAATTTTAAGTTTATTATTTAATTGGATTTGGATTTGGCTGTAAAAATTGAACTTTGAGATTTTTCATTGCCTTTGCAAGTGTTTCTTTTTTTGGAATTTATATGTTTAGATTGCTATTAAATGGATTAAATTTAGAATAGCTATTATGCGAAGTTTGAATTTGGTGCTCATTATAATTTGTTTGATTATATTTGTGGTTGTTTCTTTGGATTTGGTGTTCATTATCATGTGGGTTTTTTTTCTTAATTTTTTAATGTTTTTATTTGTGTTTATAGTAAGAGATTGCTACTTAAAAGATTTTAACTTGAATGGCATATAAGGGTAATTAAAAGATTAGCTGTTTTTAAATTTGGTGCTAATTATAATATGATGATTTTTTTTCTGATTATAGTTTGGATTTGAAAAAGATGGCGTGCCCGGATGAGTTTGTGTTTAGTTTTGTTCTTTGTGTGTTTAGATTACTACTGAGTAGATATTGACGGCTGTGATGATTAATTTGAAACTTAAGCAGTGATTTTGGCAGATTGTGTATCCCTCGAGTTGATGTACTTGAGATATTATATCGATTAGCTATCCAATCAGTTATCTAGCTACCAAGGTCATAGGTTTAGCAGTGCATCAGTTTGAACTCGTGTGATCTCGTGGGATAGATTGGATGGTTTTTCGTGGTACCAAAAGAAGAAAAATTACGTAATTGGAGTGTTTCTGTAAATGGTGATATATGTGTGTTTTTAAGGTCTGGAACTGACAGAGAATCATTGCTATATATTGTGTGATTAGAAGAAATAAGAAGTCAATGGTCTGTATGAGACATGCATATGACAAAAAATGTATCATAGTTGAAAAGGAAAGTAACATTGTTTACCAAACTCTGTCAGGAAAAACAGAACTTTCAACTTTTCTTTTACAAATTTTATTTTGGTCGTACTTGAACTAATATATATTTTTTGCCTTGATTTTACTACAACTGGTGATTATTCCTTCTCTTGAGCTTTGTAGAGCCTCTTCTCCCAGCTGCTTATTGAATGTCCTCTTCTTTCATGCCAAGTGAAAATTTTATTTGCGGTCGTGATTAAACTAGGTAAGTTAATCAATTGAGAAAGGTTTTACTGGATCGTAGAAAATACTGCTGATGTCTGAGAGCCGTGTTATCTGTGTACTTAGAACTTGGTAGATTTAAAGTTTCATGTGTTGGTAATATATTGCATTCTGAAAGCCGCTCATCTCATGCGCTTAGTCCTAGTAGCATTTGCTATTGAATGGTGTTCTTTATGTTCTCTGTCTGATGGAATTATTCTCCTTATTTGTCTGTGTAATACATTTTGTGCTCCATGATCATCTTCCCCCTCATGACTGATTACTATTCTGTTAGGTTCTATGAGGATGGTTCAAGCAGTTGTTCCCCACATGGCATCAAGGAAAAAGGGAAAGATTGTAAATGTCGGAAGTGTTAGTGCATACCTTCCTGCACCGTGGGCTGGTGTTTATACAGCAACTAAATGTGCTCTTCATTCACTGACTGACACTTTGAGGTTTGTATATGACAGATACCGATTCTGATTTTCGCCAATCTTGTAGCTCTAATAATCACAAATGCCATGAAAATTATCTGTAAGACTATAGCATAACCTTTCTTTTGTTTTAGAATGTGAATCTGTTACTTTCCATGTTTCATCCGTTGCCGAATGAATGTACCCTTAGATTAAATTGATTTTTTGGTGTAGATATATTCCACGAAAAGATGTGATTTCAATAGGGCTGATCACTTTTGTGTTCTTCATAAACTCTCTTGAAATTATATCTTCACAATTCTGATGTCTAATGCAGACTGGAACTAAGACATTTCGGGATTGATGTCATCAACATCGTCCCTGGGGCTATAACATCCAACATAGGAAAGACTGCCGTTTCCAACTACAACCGGATGCCTGAATGGAAGCTATACAAGCCATTTGAAGAAATTATCAGAGAGAGAGCATACTTTTCACAGACATCAAAGTCGACCCCTGCAGAAGTGTTTGCAAAGGATACTGTAGCGGCAGTGATGAAGAACAACCCCCCAGCTTGGTTCTCCTCCGGTCGATACTCCACCATCATGGCAATTGTATACCATATGCCCACTTTTGTTAAAGATTTTATTGTCAGAAAAGCAATGAAAGGCTGAGTTCTGCATTGTCTGGACTTGTCTGTTTTATCCATCTCAAAATGTCACTTAAACATTATACAGTTACTGAAATATCCTTGTGTATCACCATATTGAGAAAACACTGAACATCAATGATGTTTATGATAATTATAAACTAATTGCTGATAATCTATCGATCATGACAGTGGTGGTTACCGATAAAAGACAAAAATCAGCCAAAAAATTGATAGGCTGAAAAGTTGATCAGGCTGATAAGCACAGAATGCTAGATATAACAGGACCAAATGAAAGCTCAATCACATGAAGAAAATCTATAAAACAGCCTAAATGTGAGGGATTTGCATTGAAAACATGAAGATTGAATCATTAAAAATAATTGATATTCAAATAAAGGTTGCTTAGATAAATATTTTGACAATTCACAGTTTGACACCTTAAGCAACTCTTCATGCACTTTCTTTAAGTCCAACCTTTAACCTCTTCCTTCAACACAAAAAACTCATCACTCTCCTCTCTAAAAAAAACCCATTTCAATGGAGCTTCAAGATCAAAAACCAGTTGTGCTAATCACAGGCTGCTCTCAGGGAGGAATAGGCCATGCATTGGCACTTGAGTTTGCTTCAAAAGGGTGCCATGTTGTGGCCACAAGTAGGTCAAAGAAAACCATGAAAGATCTGGAAAATGATTCAAGGTTCTTTCTACAAGAACTTGATGTTGTTTCAGATGAAAGTGTGAAGAATTGTGTGGAAAATGTTATTGAAAAGTTTGGAAGAATTGATGTCTTGGTTAACAATGCTGGAGTCCACTGTGTTGGACCTCTTGCCGAGCTTCCATTATCAGCTATGGAGAAAACTTTCAACACCAATATTTATGGTAAGTATAGTTAAATTTCTTCTTTTGTTTAATACTTTAATGTGATGATTACACAAAAAATTCTTAAGTGCGGACCTGAAATCTGGACTTAAACTCTTGCTAGCAAAGAGTCTACGTCCAAATTTTAAGAAAATCAGATTGTTTGCAAGAAAGATTGATACTGATTGTTTGCAAGAAAGATTGATACTTCGATTTCGTATTCCAATTATGCAATTCCATGTTCGCTCACAATTAGGTCCCATGAGGATGGTTCAAGCTGTTGTTCCCCACATGGCAGCTAGGAAAAAGGGAAAGATTGCAAATGTTGGAAGTGTTATNTTAAAAATAAATTATTTTTTATTTTTATAATTTTTAATGACCTTTTTGCAAAATGTTAAATTTTAGGTATATATATAAGTATATTGTTCTATCCAAGTCATTTAAAAATTGATTTACATTCAACCGTTACTAATTATATTAACATACATATTTAAAAGCTTTATCTTTTAATTGTACAAAAAAAAAAAAAATTAATAATTACATTAAAGATTAATGAAAAATTAAATACCCATTAATGTACTTCTATTAAAATTAAAGTTTCACTAAACTCAAATTTCTAAACACAATCAAATTTAAAATGTTCAATTGTTAATAAAATTAGTTTGTCTCACCGATATGACTATAGAGAGGTTATATATATATATATATTATTTGTTATAAATACTAATATTCTTTTTTAAATATTTAATAATTATTAATAAATTTTAGTGTTTGGGGATGGGATGGGGTGGGGCAGAGATGGCAATCACCACCCCTTCCCAAAATCAATTCGGGAATGAGTTTTCATCCCCATCCCCACTCCCTCCGTCCTCGAAAATTTAGCTTGAATTCCTCCCCGAATACGGTGGGGACAAGCGAGGACCCATCCCCACAAAAAAAAATTACAAAAATCGGTAAAATATAGATAAAAAACAAAAACAGTAATTTTACCCTTATCTAACTTGTAGGTGAGGTTTAAAAATAAAATACGGAGAAGATACAACCACTGAAGGTTATACACTGAATTCATGCACCAAATGACATGATAAAATTCTGACGGTCGATTAATATTAAGTTAAAATTAATCAATGGTCAGGATTTTATTACGTCATTTAGTGTATGAATTCGGTGCGCTACTTCGATGACTGTAGTATTACTTAATAAAATATGTGGGGGCTAGATATTATCCCCTAAAATAAACAAGTTACAAAGATCCGGATCCGAGTAAAATATAACAATGACACATAATAACCCGGCCCAATTCGGCCCACAATCGTCCCCGTAATTGAAAGTCTGAAATGGTCATCTTCAACTGAATCTGAATCTTCCTCCTTTGTACGCGGAAACTTCATCTCTCCTCTCCTCGAATTCAACGACAAAGCCTGAAACTTTGAAACTTCCCCCACTTTTCACACCATTTTAATGGAGCCTCAAGATCAGCAGCATCCGGTGGTGCTAATCACGGGCTGTTCTCAGGGGGGAATAGGCCACGCGCTGGCACGTGAGTTCGCTGCAAAAGGGTGCCGGGTGGTGGCTACCAGCAGGTCCACGACAGCCATGTCTGACCTCGAACAAGACCCCAGGTTCTTCCTCAAAGAACTTGATGTTGTTTCGGATGAAAGTGTGAATAGTGTTGTGTCAAATGTTGTTGAAAAGTTCGGAAAAATTGATGTTTTGGTTAATAATGCTGGAGTTCAATGTGTTGGCCCGCTTGCTGAGCTTCCATTGTCAGCCATGGAGCAAACTTTCAACACCAATGTTTATGCTGTAATGTAAATTTTAATTATTTTAATTGATTTGGAATTGGCTGTAAAATTGAACTTTGAGATTTTTCATTGCCTTTAAGTGTTTCTTTTTTTGGAATTTATATGTTTAGATTGCTATTAAATGGATTAAATTTAGAATAGCTATTATGCGAAGTTTGAATTTGGTGCTCATTATAATTTGTTTGATTATATTTGTGGTTGTTTCTTGGATTGGGTGGTCATATGATCTGTGGGTTTTTTTTTTTTTTTTTTTAATCTTTATGTTTGTTTTATAGGTTTAGATTGCTACTTAAAGATTTTAACTTGAAAAACTATTAAGGGTAATTAAAAGATTAAGCTGTGATTTTAAATTTGGTGCTATTAAATATAATTGTATTATTCTGATCAATAGCTTGGATGTTGAAAATGATGGCTGCCCAGATGAGTTTTGTGTTTAGGTTTTGTGTTTGGGTGTTTAGATTATACTGATAGATATTGAACGGCTGTGATGTGTAATTTGAAACTTAAGCAGTGATTTTGTCAGATTGTGTATCCCTGAGTTGATGTACTTGAGATATTATATCCGATGGCTATCCAATTAGTTATTATGATCAGCACCAGGTCATAGGTTCTAGCAGTGCATCAGGTTAGAACTTGTTGATCTCGTGAGATAGATGGACGGTTTTTGGGTACCAAAAAAAAAAAATTACGTAATTGGAGTGTTTACTGAATTTGTGATATATGTGTGGTGTAAGGTCTGGAACTGACAATGGAGAATCATTGCATATATATTGTGAGTGATTATGAAGAATAAAGAAGTCAATGGTTCTGCACGATACATGCAACTACAACGAGAAAAAATATATCAGTAGTGAAAAGGGAAAGTAACATGTTGTACCAGGAAACTCTGTCAAGGAAAACAGAACTTACAACTTTTTCTTTTACAAATTTCATTTGGTCGTACTTGAACTAATATATATTTTTGCCTGATTTACTAATAGTGATTATTCTTACTCTTGAGCTTTGTAGAGCCTTCTCGCCAGCTGCTTATTGAATGTCCTCTTTCTTTCATGCCAAGTGAAAATTTTATTATGTGGTCGATTTGCCTTCAGGGAAACTAGTATCTTAAATAAATCTATGTTTTCACTTGATATGCATAAGTAATGGATTTTCAATGTATTTCCGATGAGGTCATAGTTTTATCATTTTGTTGATAACATTTTAATGAACTATTACCGTAAGAGTAGGGGAGAAAAAAAGATAGTTTGAGCTGATTTTGTCCACCTTTCTACCAACTTTGTCATTTGAACTTTGTATAAAGTAGTTCTCACTGAGATTTGCATGACGGTAAAGAAAAATGCTTCTGCACTTTGCTGTATAATATATGGAACTCACTGCATTTAATCTGAACTAGGTAAGATAATCATTGAGATTTTTATGGAGAAAACAAGATCCTTGCGATGGTTTTGAGGTCAATCGTACTATTCTAACTGAACTAGGTAAGTTAATCAATTGAGAATGGTTTTACTGGATTGTAGAAAATACTGCTGATGTCTGAGAGCGTGTTATCTGTGTACTTAGAACTTGGTAGATTTAAAGTTTCATGTGTGGTATATTGCATTCTGAAAGCAGCTCATCTCATGCGCTTAGTCCTAGTAGCATTTGCTATGACTGGGTTTGTATGTTCTCTGTCTGATGGAATCACTCCTTATTTGTCTGTGCAATACATTTAGTGCTCCAAGATCATCTCCCCTCATGACTGATTACTATTCTGTTAGGTCTCTGAGGAGGTTCAAGCAGGTTGTTCCCCACATGGCATCAAGGAAAAAGGGAAAGATTGTAAATGTCGGAAGTGTTAGTGCATACCTTCCTGCACCGTGGGCTGGTGTTTACACAGCAACTAAAGTGCTCTTCATTCACTGACTGATACTTTGACGGTTGTATATCACAGATACCATTCTGATTTTCGCCAATCTTGTGCTCTAATAACCCAAACGTCATGAAAATTATCTGTAAGATTACAACATGACCTTTTTTGTTTTTTTAGTATGTGAATCTGTTACTTTCCATGTTCAATCTGTTGCCGAATGAATATACCTTAGATTAAATTGATTTTTGGTGTAGATATATTCCACGAAAAGATTGATTTCAATAGGATGCTGATCACTTTGTGTTCTTCATAAACTCTCTTGAAATTATATCTTCACAATTCTGATGTCTAATGCAGACTGGAACTAAGACATTTTGGGATTGACGTCATCAATGTCGCCCTGGGCTATAACATCCAACATAGGAAAGACTGCCGTTCCAACTACAACCGGATCCTGAATGGAACTATACAAGCCATTGTAAGAATATCAGAGAGAGAGCATACTTTTCGCAGACATCAAAGTCGACCCTGCAGAAGTGTTTGCAAAGGATACTGTAGCGGCAGTGATGAAGAACAACCCCCCAGGCTTGGGTTCTCCTCGGTCGATACTCCACCACTGGCAATTGTAACCATATTGCCACTTTTGTTAAAGATTTTATTGTCAGAAAGCCAATGAAAGGCTGAGTTCTACATTGTCTGGATTGTCTGTTTCATCCATCACAAAATGTTACTTAAAACATTACACAGTTACTGAAATATCCTGTGTATCACCATATTAGAAAACACTGAACATCAATGATGTTTATGTATAATTATAAACTAATTGGCATAATCTATCGATCATGACAGTGGTGTTACCGATAAAAGACAAAAATCAGCCAAAAATTGATAGGCTGAAAAGTGATCAGGCTGATAAGCACAGAAGCTAGATATAACAGGACCAAATGAAAGCTCCAATCACATGAAGAAAATCTATAAAACAGACCTAAAGGTGAGGGATTTGCATTGAAAACTGAAGATGAATCATTAAAAATAATTGATATTCAAATAAAGGTTGCTTAGAAAATATTTTGGACAATTCACAGTTTGACACCTTAGCAACTCTTCATGCACTTTCTTTAAGTCAACCTTTAACCTTTCCTTCAACCACAAAACTCATCACTCTCCTCTCTAAAAAAAAACCCATTTCAATGAGCTTCAAGATCAAAAACCAGTTGTGCTAATCACTGGCTGCTCTCAGGAGGAATAGGACATGCATGGCACTTGGAGTTTGCTTCAAAAGGGTGCCATGTTGTAGCCACAAGTAGTCAAAGAAACCATGAAAGATCTGGAAATGATTCAAGGTTCTTTCTACAAGAACTTGATGTGTTTCAGATGAAAGTGTGAAGAATTGTGTGGAAAATGTTATTGAAAAGTGGAAGAATTGATGTCTTGGTTAACAATGCTGGAGTCCACTGTGTTGGACCTCTTGCCGAGCCTTCCATACACGCTATGGAGAAAACTTTCAACACCAATATTTATGGTAAGTATAGTTATTTCTTCTTTGTTTAATACTTTAATGTGATGATTACACAAAAAATTCTAAGGCGGACCTGAATCTGGACTTAAACTCTTGCTAGCAAGAGTCTACGTCCAAATTTTAGAAAATCAGATGTTTGCAAGAAAGATTGATACTGATTGTTTGCAAAAAGATTGATACTTCGATTTCGTATTCCAATTATGCAATTCCATGTCGCTTCACAATTACAGGTCCCATGAGGATGGTTCAAGCTGTTGTTCCCCACATGGCAGCTAGGAAAAAGGGAAAGATTGCAAATGTTGGAAGTGTAATCACAAATCTCCCTGCACCATGGGCTGGTGTTTATGCTGCATCTAAATGTGCTATTCATTCACTCACCGATACCTTGAGGTTTGTATATATGTCACAAACAGTTTGAATAATAAACTTTACTAAACAAGCTATAGCTTTTTATTATATGGTTGATCATTTTTGTCGTAGAGACGTTCATAAATCATTAGTATGAAAGCTACAGCAATCCAAAACTGCGCAACAAGTTACCACTACTTTGAGATTAAAGTGATTTTTTATTGAGTTATTCATTTTTCTTCTATTCTCAAAATACTGATATCTAATGCAGATTGGAACTCCGTCATTTTGGAATTGATGTAATTAACATTGTCCCTGGGGATATAACATCCAACATAGGAAATTCTGCCATTTCCAACTACAACCAAATGCCTGAATTGAAGCTCTACAAGCCATTTGAAGAAGCTATCAAAGAGAGAACAAATTTATGGAAAACATCGAAAACGACCCCTACAGAAGTGTTTGCGAAGGATACTGTGGCGGCTGTGATGAAGAAAAACCCCCCGGCTTGGTTCTCATCTGGTCGATATTCATCCATCATGGCAATCTTGTATCATATGCCCATCTTTGTTAAGGATTTTATTGCAAGGAAAACAAAGAAATGTTGAGTGACCTAATTACTTTAGGTTTCATGTATTGATTCTTTTTGTAAGCTCTCAAAATGTCACTCATCATAATATTATGTCACTTTGGTCCTCTTGTTGAGGAATTATTATCATGCTATTAACTAATAAATAAATATTGATCCACCATTAAAGTATATCGTAATTATGATATAATTTTTTTTTATCCAAAACACGTCTTCACAGCTTAAAAGCTTACATAATATTTAACTAACCTTCACTTAATCTTTCTAATTAATACGATATGTCACAACAACATTATTAAGATGATACTATATTAGGATCTCAGAAAAACTTTTCAAGAGTCTCGCTGTTCTTGCTTTTATATACAGAAAGTTCGAATGTTTAATAATATTCTTGTAAGGAGCTACTAAAATCTATTACATATATTACTCTAATATGTTTTCAAGTCAAATAAATGTTGTCTTTTGCTTCAATCAAAGTGATTTATTTAGCTATTTATGTAAAAAAAAAAAACACATCGTACGTATCAGCCACATGCATGAGAATAATACAAAAACTCAATAACTGTGCATGCTCCATAATCTAATATATAAAAATTCTTCAAGATTCAAGATAGATTTTTTAAATGTTTAACGTGTAACTTGATAATTATATTTTTAAAGAATTATTAAGTAATATTTATTGACATCAATGAGTGCCTCTTAATATGAATATAATATATTGTATCATTCAAGGATACATCACTTTGGTATACACAATTTAGATATCCAGTATAATTTATTTAGAAATGATCTGAAAACAAGATCCAATCTAACCTAAATGTGAGGGATTTGTATATTGAAAATTGGAAGATAAATCAATAGAATAACATTCAAATACACGTTACCAATCAAAACTGATAATTTCTCTGATTTTTTCGAGCTGTGCTTATATATATATAGTAAAACCTCTCTATAGTGATATTCTATATAGGAATAAATTCTACATAGTCATAAAAAATTATAGTCCCAATTTGGGATAGTTAATTAGTTATAAATAAGAATAAACTCTCTATTGTAATAAGTTATAATGTTTCTAATTCCCGTTTTAAGGAAAGTTGTCTCTACATAATAATAATTATTTGTATATTGTAAAAAACAAAAAAATATATGCTATATATATTACATTAAAGGTTTCAAATAAAATAAAATATTTATCTAAAGTTGTTTGGGACAATGATTTATACTTTAAAGTTGTTTGTGACATCTTTTAACTTGTAAGTACATAATAACTCGCTAACATGAAAACTTTCTTGTTGCAGCCAAAATATTGCTAACTTTTCAAGCATGTTTAGAGCTTTTTGGTGCAAAACTTTTTGTATTTTCATACTATCATCCTTAAGACTATTTTATTTCTCTTCTTATCTAATTGTAGCAATGATTTCTTTTTAAGTTAAAGCATACATGATTTATTACTCATTTAAATGATTGAGGAAGACATTAATATACATTCAATTAATATAGTGAAGTTGTCCAATCTCATCACTCAATTTTGTAATGACTCTTTGATTCCCCTCATCCACTTCATTTATAACTTGCAATTCATCGACATCAGGGATCATAATTTTGCCGTGCTTAAAACATTGGCAATTGTATGGCTTCATATCAATTGGTCATGTAACAACTATATTTACAATTTCATCAAGTACATTTATCTTTGCCTGTTCCAAGACATGATTTTCTATTTGTTTGAAAAGTAGACAATTGAAGTATTGAATTAAAATCCTAATATTGTACTACTAAAACATAAATTATAAAATAAGAAATCAAAATAATAATTTTTGTAACTATACATTTATTAAGTTATAACCTCCTCATAGTAATAAAATTATTTGATTCACTATTATGACTACAGAGAGGTTTTACTATATATATAATTTGACAGTTCAAAGCTGACACTTGAAACTACTAGTCCATGCACTTTCTTTATATCCAAACTTCAACTTTATAATTTCAACACAAAACTCATAACCCATTGTAATGGAGGTTCAAGATCAGAAGCCAGTTGTGTTAATCACAGGGTATTCTCAGGGAGGAATAGGGCACGCATTGGCATGTGAGTTTGCTTCAAAAGGGTGTCATGTTGTGGCCACAAGAAGGTCAAAAAGAACCATGAGAGATCTGGAAAATGATTCCAGGTTCTTTATGCAAGAACTTGATGTTGTTTCAGATGAAAACGTGAAAAATTGTGTAGCGAATGTTATCGAAAAGTTAGGAAGAATCGATATTTTGATTAACAATGCTGGAGTTCCATGTGTTAGCCCTCTTGCTGAGCTTCCATTATCAACTATGGAGCGAACTTTCAATACCAATGTTTATGGTACGTATAATTTTATTATTTTGTTTCTTTGGATCTGATGCTTGGTAATATGTTTTTGATAATTAATTTCACGAAAATTCTCAGATGTTGATGTAAAATTCAGATAATCAATCGAGAGAGTAATCGAGAATGGTTTATTATATTTAGTTCTATTTTTTTAACAAGTTTGGGGTTTTTGTTGTATTTTCATACAATGATACTTAATTTTGTTTGATCATACAATTCAATTTTATTAATAGGTCCCATGAGGTTGGCTTAAGCTGTCGTTCCTCATACGGCATCTATGAAAATGGGGAAGATTGTAAATATTGGAAGTTATTAAGAATCAATCAAACTCAACCTAACATGTTCCTCTAACAAACGCAACCAGCAAACACTCAAGAAACAACACAAACAATAATGAATCAAGAAATAAGAACATAGCCAATTTTTACCGTGGTTCGTTTATCCTAAAAAATAAACTATATCCACGTTGAGCTCCAAGTAAAATGGAGGCTACTGCACTATAAGGATCAATCCAATTACAGATTACAACTCAATCAAGAACAGCCACTCAAATCTCACAATTACCCAACCTTCAATCACCCGTAATCTACTCTCAAAGACAACTATTACAAGCGTCTCAACCAGAAGAACCTAACACTTCTTCTACCCACAATTTACCTGATAAATTGCAACAAATTACACAAATTGAAGATTAACCAAACTAAGAATGAAACCCTAATAGAGATGGAAAAACACGATAGAGTGGATGAAAGCTACTGTTCGTTTTTGTGTAACTTCGGCTTTAAATAGGTTGACCTCAAGGCTTCATTTGCACTGTTGGATTAGACTGAAACCAAAGGCTAAGATCTGTCACTTAATTAAAAAAAATTATATTTATTCATTTATAAATCGTTAATTATTTATTTGAAAAGTTAACTAAAAAAAAAAAAAAAAAAAACTTCAAAAAAGGACAGCGTATTGCTTACTCCAACACGATACCGTTTGAAGCTTCACTCAACAGAAGTATTAACGCATTCCTCCCTGCACCTTGGGCTGGTGTTTATGCCGCAACTAAATGTGCTCTTTATTCACTCTCTGATACCTTAAGGTTTGTATATTTGAAGTAATCGCAAAGCTTAAGAAATAATCACTTCATTCTTATTTAAATCAATCACACTATCTTTTTGTAGATGCAAAAAATCTACCATCATGAAAATAGGGTGTGATCCCGTGAGGTTGAGGTCACTGACAATCCATTAGACCTGCACACATGAAAGGGCAAGCGTGAAGCTTCCGGAAAACACCGAGGTGGTATTTGTCGTAGGCACTCCGACGCTCAAGTCAACAAGGCTGAAAGAGATGTAATAAGAATTAAGGAGAAGAAGAATTACCAGGAGTCTTGTCGGAGGCTAGGACTACGGCGGAGGCATCGGGTTCTTGGGAGCAGGAACTTAGGAGCAAATAGATGGTTTTGAGTAGTGTAGATTGACTATGTGAGATTTTTTTTAATGAGAGGGCGAGCCTCTGTTTTTATAATGAACCCAAGGGGTTGGAATCCTAGTAGGACATTGAGTGCTCTTTTGGGAGATAATCCCTATCATAAAAGAGATATGATTTCTTCACCTTATCAGATTAAGTTTAATAGTTTAAATAAGAGTTGGAATCTTAGTAGGACACTAAGTCCTATTTTGGGAGATAATCCCTATCATGAAAGAGATATGATTTCTTGACCTTATCAGATTAAGTTTAATAGTTTAAATAAGATTTGGAATCTTAGTAGGACACTAAGTCCTATTTTGGGAGATAATCCCTATCATGAAAGAGATATGATTTCTTGACCTTATCAGATTAAGTTTAATAGTTTGAGTAAGATTTGAAATCTTAGTAGAAGAGGAAATAGAATGGGATTCCGATTTCCTATTTATAGACTGTTGCAGGCTAATGGGCTGAAACCCAGTTTAGTTTAACTTCTAGGATAGCCCAACTCATAGAGTGGGTAAGTCGCAAGGTGATTTTAAGCGTATGCCCAATCGAGATTGGGTTGAGGCCTTGGGCCGTGACATGTTTATTTCGTTATTGGGCCTCGTCAAGCCCAAGACGATTTTTGGCCCTAACACTTTTCACAGTAGAAAAGATTTGACCAAAACTTTTCCGGTCTTCTTAACCGTCAAAAAGATACCTTTAGATAGATCACCAAGAAACGATTCTACTCGGTCTTCCCATAGAGCCTGATCACTTTTCTCATGAAATTATTGTCATATTTTTTATCTCTAGTGTATAGATTGGAATTGAGGCATTTCAGAATTGATGTCATCAACGTTGTCCCTGAGGCCATAACTTCCAACATAGGGTCCAACTACAACTAGATGCCTGAATGGAAGCTATACAAGCCATTTGAAGAACTTATCAAAGAGAGAACAGACTCTATGAATACCCTAAAATCGATCCTTGCAGAGGTGTTTACGAAGGATACCGTGGTAGTGGTGATGAAGAACAACCCTCCGGCTTGGTTCTCCTCCGGTCCTTACTCCACCTTCGTGGCCATCATGTACCATATGCCCCTTTTTGTTAAAGATTTTGTTGCGAAAAAAATGACCAAGTGTTGAGTACTTCTAGGTTGTCTAGAGTGATAGTGCGAGAGACATATTTTATTCAATGGCAGCTCTTAAGCTTTTATATGTTCTTATGTAAGTAATAATAGGTATATATGATGTGTTACAAAATAAGTAAAATTTTTTTTTAAGGTATCTGAGGCAATGTTCTAAAAGCCGGACCAGGCATTGAC